TCCAGTGACAATGCAGCTGATCTTCACAACAAGTATGATGGAACTGCCCCATGAAGGAGAGTGATGAGCCTGTTTGCATTTATTGGGTGACTGTCATTGGTAATATGCATACAGTGCTCCATCTTATCTCTAGTGGAGGGGTCTTCAACTGTATCAGTACTTTTTTTTAAAGCTCTGGAACACTGACATCTATGTGTTACCAGTTGTTAATGAGCTGCTGCAGAGGTGCTGATTTTACTTTCTTGGATATTCACATATACTACTCACTAATTGACCTGAATGAATGGATGAATGAATGGACAAATGAATAAAATGTCATTCTTAATTTTTTATATCAGTTGAAATATCTTAGAGCTTATTAGCTACTGTGGTCCTGTGTTGTGAAACAGGAGGGTTTTAACAGTTCAGTTCTTTAAAATTCTACTGAGTTCTACAACTAGAATCCAGCAACTTGTCTTTAAAAATAAAATTTGATTTAAGCCTAGGGGAGAAGAACCTTGATCCATTTGGTTTAGAAACCCTTGGGGAAAAAGAGTCTTGCTTCTTTTTAGTCAATTTCTCTATGCGTTCTTGGCAATTACAGCTAATATATCTTAAAATTTTTAAAATTCAAAATGATTACAAAAGCTACCATAAAATTTAATAGGGAGATTTAAAAAGTCAAAATCCTTCCTTTCCAGGAATAATCAATGTTAATAATTTGGTGTGCATCTCTCTAAGCCTTCTTCTAGGCACATATTAATATGTAAATACATATATCCTTTAAAAAAAAACCAATTGGGTTCTGACACATATATTTTTCTATAATATTTTTCTTTCCACTACACTATATAGCATACGCAAGGGGGGTGGGACATAGCCCTACTGAAGACTTTTGATTCCTATATTGAAAACTCCCCCAACAAGAAAGTGTACCAATCTAAGTCTCCATTAGTAGCCTATCAAATTGGCTGTTTCTCCAGTCTCATATTTTTCTAGTGGTTATTCCATTATATGGCTAAGCCATCACTCTTTTTATCATTATTGATGGTCAGGTTATCACCAGCTGTTCTCTATCACACATACACACACACACACACACACACACACACAGAGAGAGAGAGAGAGAGAGAGAAAGTTTTTCTTTGGGAACTTGTACAAGAAATTCCAGATGACAGTAATCTGGTCAAAAGATATGCATATTTTAAATGTCAACAGTTAAGGCTAAATGGCCCTCTGAATAGGCATACCAATTTATATTTCCAATAATGTATGAGTGTCTTTTCATATCTTGCCAGTATTAGTAACATTGCTTCTTACTCTTGACAGTTGAAGAGCTTAAAAATGACCTTATTCTTCTGATGACGAGAGCAGGTAAGTATGACATTTATGTTTATAAGTCATTCACATTTTTCCTAAGAATTGCCAATTAAAATTACGTTCTCATTGATTTTTTTGTCTCTTATTATTACAGACATTAGTCACTTATCTGTTAATCTCACATCCATTTTTGTAAAATGGGAGTCATAACAGTCATTATCTTGAAATGATGTTGTAAGGATCGAATGAGAAAATACATGGTAACGTGTTCAGTATAGTGCCTGGTATAGCACAGTACACATTTAATAACTGCTGTTGTTATTATTACACTGTTACATTGTAAATGTTTCTTCCCAGACTTTTTAAAAAAATTTGTTTATGGTACCCTTCACTAAAAGGTTTTTAATATTTATGTAGTCATTTATATCTATATTTTTCTTTATAGCACTATAAGAAATGTTAAAACAAAGTCTATCAGGCAGTTGGAAAATGATACCAGATAACACTCTAGATCTACACAAAACAATGGACACTGAAAATGTAAACATGTAGGCAAACAGAAAAGTTTTTTCTTATTATTTAAATTTAAGGACAATCAACTGTCTAAGCAAAAAACAACATAGTTTGGCATTAATAAGGGAGTAGGTGTAAAATGTGTGATAAAAATAGCACCAAGCCCAGAAGAGGAGAAATAAAAATACACTATCATAAGGCTCTGAAACTATACGTGAAGTGCTGTAATACTGTTTGAAGATAGATTAGAATAAGTTAAAGGTGTATAAACCCTAAAGTATCCATCAAATATAGTTAACTACCCAATTAATTTAAATGAAAGCATAAAGAGGACAAAAACAAGAAAAGATAGATTTTAACTATATCAATACTGACATGAAATATAAAGGGTATAAACACACCAACTATAAGTTTTATGTTGTCAGATTGGATTAAAAATGAAGACTCAACTATATACTGCCTGCAAAAAAACACTACCTTCAATATAAAGATACAAATAGGTAAAGAGGTAAAAGCAATAATAAAAGATAAATCACCCCAAGGAAGGCAAAAAGACAACCCACAAAATGGGAGAACATTTTTGCAAATTATATCTGACAAAGACTCATATCTGGAATATTCAAGAAACTCTCAGAATTTAATAATAAAAGACAACCTAATTAAAAAAAATGAACTAAGTATCTGAATAGACATTTTTTCAAGAAAGATCTACAAAGGACTTCTCATCCAGTAGGACAGCTATAATTTTTCTGTTTTTTTGTTTTTCAGACGGAGTTCAGCTCTCGTTCCCCAGGCTGGAGTGCAATGGCGTGATCTCGGCTCACCTCAACCTCCGCCTCCTGAGTTCAGGCAATTCTCCTGCCTCAGCCTCCTGAGTAGCTGGGATTACAGGCACGCGCCAGCATGCCCAGCTAATTTTTTCTATTTTTAGTAGAGACGGGGTTTCACCATGTTGACCAGGATGGTCCCGATTTCTTGACCTCATGATCCACCCGCCTCAGCCTCCCAAAGTGCTGCGATTACAGGCTTGAGCCCGGCCTGGTTTCTTAAAGATTAGTTGCGGGAGCCCGTGGCGGGGCGGCGGCAGCATGCACGTTTGAGATGCGGCTGCGGCGGCGGCGGCGACGAGCGCGGTCTCTTGGGCGCGGGACGCGCGGCGCCTGAGGGCGGGCGCGTGGGTGCTGGGCAGCCTCTAGCCGCGCCGCCTGCGTAGGCGCTGGTTCAGGACTCATTCACATAGCTGAGACCTGCGGGCCGGTCACGGGGGCGCCCACCGTGGAGATGCTCTCCGATCCTGCGCTCCCCTCGGCCTCAGCCCCAGCCCCGCCCCGGGTTCTGCTGCGCGCCCTGGACGTGGCGCGGCTGCACGAGGAGCAGGAAAAGGAGGAAGGTAGATATAATGTCTATAACGCCCTTCGAGAAAGACTCAACACCTTGCCTGATAAATTGTCTTATAATATAATGACACCATTTGGCCTTTTTGCCTTCATGCCGGAAAAACTTGTCCATACTAATGAAGTCACTGTTTTAATGGGTGACAACTGGTTTGCAAAGTGCTCAGCAAAGCAGGCTGTAGGTTTAGTTGAGCACCGGAAAGAACATGTAAGAAAAACAATAGAGGATTTAAGAAAAGTGATGAAAAATTTTGAATCAAGAGTTGAATTCACAGATTTGCAGAAAATGAGTGATGCTGCAGGTGATATTGTTGATATAAGAGAAGAAATTAAATATGACTTTGAGTTTAAAGCAAAACACCGAATGGCTTGTAAACCACATTCCAAACCAAAAACATCAGATATTTTTGAAGCGGATATTGCAAATGATAGGAAATCCAAGGATTTGCTTGCTGATAAAGACTGTGGGCTCGACTTGAAGAACTAGAGAGACAAGAATTGCTGGGTGAACTTGATAGTAAGCCTGATACTGTGATTGCAAATGGAGAAGACACTACATCTTCTGAAGAAGAAAACGAAGAGCATAACACAAATGTGAATGTGGTGCATCAAGTAACAGACTCTCATACTCCAGATGTCCTAAGGATGTGGCAAGTTCAGAACCATTTAGGGATCAGTTGAATAGTCGGTTGAACTGTTCAGCGAATGGTTCCGGTTCTTACCACAGTGATGATGATGATGATGACGACGATGACGATGACGACGACGTTGATGACGACGATGATGGTGATAATGAGCATGAGGCTTTAGGAGCTGGAGATAATTCTATACCAACAATATATTTTTCTCATACTGTTGAGCCTAAGAGGGTCCGAATACATACTGGAAAGAATACCACTTTAAAATTCAGTGAAAAGAAAGAAGAAGCCAAACGTAAACGAAAGCGAAAGCACAGCACTGGCAGCGGCCACTCTGCCCAGGAGCTGCCGACCATCAGGACACCTGCTGACATTTACAGAGCCTTTGTTGACCTTGTGAATGGAGAATACGTCCCTCGTAAATCCATCCTGAAGTCTCGAAGTAGAGAGAAGAGTGTGTGTAGTGACACCAGTGAAAGCAGCGCTGCTGAATTTGACGATAGGGCGTTTTGAGGAGTATCAGCTGCGAAGCCACTTGCAGTGACACCAGTGAGAACATTTTGGAAGAGGAACCACAAGAAAATCATCAAAAGAAACATTTGCCCTTATCAGGAACACCTGAGGCTTTTTCTGGAACTGTTATAGAAAAAGGATTTGTATCACCTTTCTTAACACCACACCCAGCCATTGCTTATCCTGTGCTACCCACCATTCCAGAACGAAAGGAAGTTCTGTCGGAAGCATCAGAAGAAACTGGAAAGAGGGTTTCAGAGGTTTTTTGTTTTTTTTTTTGAGACGGAGTTTCGCTCTTGTTACCCAGGCTGGAGTGCAATGGCGCGATCTCGGCTCACCGCAACCTCCGCCTCCTGGGTTCAGGCAATTCTCCTGCCTCAGCCTCCTGAGTAGCTGGGATTACAGGCACGCGCCACCATGCCCAGCTAATTTTTTGTATTTTTAGTAGAGACGGGGTTTCATCATGTTGTCCAGGATGGTCTTGATCTGTTGACGTCGTGATCCACCCGCCTCGGCCTCCCAAAGTGCTGGGATTACAGGCTTGACCCACTGCGCCCGGCCCAGTTTCAAAGTCCGCCGCTGTCATAGGAGTGCAGTTGGACACCATCTCCCCAGGAGACGGGCTCACCTTCCCGGGGCGTGGCCAGACCTGCGTGGTGCACTCCACCAGGATGCTTGAAGATGGAAAGAAACTGGATTCCTCCTGGGACCGAAACAAGCCCTTTAAGTTTATGCTAGGCAAGCAGGAGGTGATCGGAGGCTGGGAAGAAGGGTTTGTCCCGATGGGTGTGGGTCAGAGGGCCAAACTGACTACATCTCCAGATTATGCCTGCGGTGCCACTGGGCACCCAGGCATCATCCCACCACATGCCACTCTTGTCTTCGATGTGGAGCTTCTAAAACTGGAATGACAGGAATGGCCTCCTCCCTTAGCTCCCTGTTCTTGGGTCTGCCATGGAGGGATCTGGTGCCTCCAGATGCGTGCACATGAATCCATATGGAGCTTTTCCTGATGTTCCACTACACTCTGTATGGACATCTGCCCTGACTGAATGTGTTGTCACTCAGCTTTGCTTCCGACGCCTCCATTTCCTCTTCCCCTTTATCCTCGTATGTGTGTTTACCTAAACTAGATGCCATAAACCTCAAGTTATTCATTTTTTTTTTGTTTTCATTTTGGGGTGAAGATTCAGTTTGTCTTTTGGATCGAGGTTTCCAGTTAACTACATGATCAAGTATTAACAGCGCAAGTGATAGGTTAACTTTAGAATAGGAATTGGTGTTGGGGGGGCTTGCAAGAATATTTTATTTTAATTTTTTGGATGAATTTTTATCTATTATATATTAAACATTCTTGCTGCTGCGCTGCAAAGCCATAGCAGATTTGAGGCGCTGTTGAGGGCTGAATTACTCTCCAAGTTGAGAGATGTCCTTGGGTTAAAATAAAAGCCCTACCTAAAACTGAGGTGGGGATGGGGAGAGCCTTTGCCTCCACCAGTCCCACCCACCCTCTCCTTAAACCCTCTGCCTTTCAAAGCAGGTCATTTTCACTGCGATGTTGGACACTACAGGTATCTATCTGTCCCTGAGCCAGCAGGGACCTCTGAAACCTTCTTTGTGGCCTGGCTTACTTTTTTTTCTCCATCCTGTAGTTTTTCTAATGGACTTTCAGGAATTTTGGAATCTCCTAACTTTCCAAGCTCCACCACTTCCTAAATCTTGAGAACTTTGACAGTTTAAATTGAAGGTGCTGTTTGTAGACTTAACACCCAATGAATGCCCAGCCATCATGACAAAATCTTGAATGTTCTCTTAAGAAAATTATGCTGGTCATCAAAGCTTCAGCATCTCCAGTTTTTTGATGCTTGGCTCCCTCTGCTGATCTCAAAGTTTCCTGGCTTTTCCTCCCTCAGCCCCTTCTCATCCCTTTGCTGTCCTGTGTAGTGATTTAGTGAGAGAAATCATTGCTGCCCCCTCCCCCCAGCACCATATATGAATTTGAAGTTTTATTATTGCAATAAAAGTGCTTTATGCCGGCTTTTCTCAAAAAAAAAAAAAAAAGAAAGAAAAAGAAAAAAAATATCCACAATCATCTGAAAAAATTAATACTTCCCCCTCCTCCAACTAATATTTTCCTCTGTATGGACTGATTTTCTTGATATACTTCCACCAAAATGCATAGCAATAGAATGAAGGCAGAAGCAAATAGGAGGATCCTACTGTTGTTATTAGAGCTAACTCTTCTCATTACATTTTATTTGTCTTGGAAAATAGAATTATTCCTCATAAATGGCATATTAACATTCAATGCTGGGCTTAATGCTGCTTTTTGTAAGTAGTTTAATACACAAGTTTAAAATGTCTCTCTTTTAATTTTGAATATAATAAACAATTGGCATAATAATATGAATACATGTTCTTTTAAGTACTTGAAAGTTTTAAGACTGTATGGGAGTCCTGAGACCAATGTCTTTGAACCAGTACCACAAAGAAACAACTGAAACACATTGTTTAAGATTATACCACTGTTTAATGCAATTTAGATGGATCCATTTGTTACTTTGGTGTTTTCTTCTTATGACTCATACTTGGTGTTTTCCCCAATATCTATTTTCATTGTTTAGATAAGAAGACGGCCTCCTTAAGCTCCCTGTGGTCTTCTAATTTTGACATTCCCTAGGTCATTGCATTACTCACTGTATTTCATATTATGTTTATATTTCTTTTTGTTCAGAATCGTATTAAGCCAGAAGCTACATGTCATGCTATGTTGGGAAACCCATTCTGCCCCATTTAAAGTGTTTGCTGCCGTCTTTAAGCTGCGATCTAAGCTGCCAATCTGATATAACTGTTGATGGTGTTGGAATTGGGAAGAGCTGTACACAGCCTACTGTCCTAAGTGGTAGTGGCCAGCTCCAACATACCCTGGTCTAGGTCTATATTAATGGCCAATGATATGTGTTTTTTGAGAAAAGATAATTCTTTTTCCTGTTTTCAACTGGAATTTACCTGTGGCAATGATATTGATATCACTAACCAGAAACCAGAGTCAGTCTGTTTTCTGTATTGAATCTCTATCTAACAGTCACCCATTTGGACCCTCAGTGTGTTACAAAGACAAAAGTGTAAAACAAATCAAATATCCTTTGTTTTTGAAGCGTAAGTTCACATTATGCAGTTTACATTTTCAAGTTGGCTCTCTTCTGGATAATATAATTTGCAAGGACTTCAAAGATTAATAGTTTGCCTTGCTAGTGCTCAGACTGTAGTTCTTGGATGACAACTTCCATATCCCATGAGAGCTTGGTAGGAATGCAGACTCTTAGGCCTCACCCTAGATTTAATCCAATCTGCATTTTAACAAGATCCCTAGGTGATTCTTACGGAAACCATGTTTGTGAGCACTGACCTTAGGGTATTTGAGCTCTAATTATTTCAGCTCACTGCCTTATAATTGGAAAATTGTTGCCATATAAATATAGCCCTCATAAGATGTGCTATGTTTAGCCAAAATATGTCATGTTTTGGCTTGTTCCTTAGTTTGTCCTCAATGTTATTTTTCCAGAGTTAGTTGAAGTTGCCTCTTTCCAAATACTGAAATGTCACGATGTATTTTCAGAATCCATTTCCTTTAAAACAGATTTTCTATTCTCTTTTGAAGCATCAGATTAATCACTTCAGTTCCTATTAGATTTTTGTCTCCTTGAAAATATTGATGTGTAAATTCTTTGCTCTGTGGAATGATCAGTCAGAGTTAGTGCATATTTTTTCTTCCCTCTTGATTTGGAGATTCACTTTTATATGTTACTAAATTAGTAAAGTGTTAAAATGCGGTACCTTTGATTTCTGTGAATCATTCCCAGCCCTTGGCTATAAAGGCCAGCATAATTTACTATCATATAGTTCAAGAGCTTAACAGAGAAATTGGACTTTTTGGGGAAGAAGAATGCATATAAAATATATTAACAAATTTATAGGAGTTTAAAGAAGTCCCTCTAAGGCAGCCAGTCTCACCCTGGCTTCACTTCAGAATTATTTGAGAAGATTTTAAGAAGCCCTAGTATTGCTCCCTTCTCTGAGACACACTGGCTTAATTGGTCCGGCGTTGTTTTCATGTGTCTGTATTTTTTTAAAAACTCTCAAAGTGATGCAAACCGTGGATTGAAAGTCACTGCTCTACCAAAGAGCAAAGCCAAAAAATAAACATGACTTGGTCAGGCAGCCTGTAACAGGAGTCTCTTTCATTAAGGGGTCTACTTATCCTTGGTACTAGTATATATAGTAATTAAAGTTGTCAGCTGGGTCCATCAGATTTAGCTACATCTCTGTAAGAATTACTCGAGTGTTTGTTTTTAACCTTCTTTTATGAAAACAGCAAAAATACTGAAGAAAATGAGGTTACACTATGGAATAAGTTATAGAAAGTTTAGTAAAGAGCAAATTATAAGTTAAATCTGCATCCACATTAAAAAGAATGTAAGGGTGGATGCGTATGGCAATTTCCTCAAACCTATTCTCCAACAAGAGGCAGAATACAAATACAGCACTTCCTCAAATAACATTTAGTCAACACTGCTTTCTCATTATAATACTGACAAGAAAAAAAACCATGTCAAAAGCACGTGTTGAAGCAGAGGATCCACATAACAAGACTAAGGCTGAGAGGGTCCTTTGGGAAAATTGAGAAGAGCAGATCTGTCTTGGGAAAGAAAGAAGCAACTGGGGATGATGGCTTAGTGCCTAACTATCACATCACTTCTTATTTTTTTTAAATAAAGATGGGGTCTCACTTTGTTGTCCAAGCTGGTTTCAAATTCTTGGCCTCAATTGCTCCTTCCACCTCTGCCACCCAGAGTACTGGGATTATAGGCATGAGTCACCATGCCCAGGCCCAACTATCACTTCCTAAGCCAGAATTAGGTCTCCAGTAAGGACCTAAAAACATTGAGCTAGTCATGGAGGCTTGTGCTTAGACGTATTAAGAAAGGTGAGTCTGCAGCACTGTCACAAGGGTGAGCAAATACTGAGAGGGACTGCTGAGGAAATGGTCTTCATCAGTGACTCTCAGGTGAGACCAGGGGGCCTTGGGTTTCAGCACAGCCTGGGCAATTGAAATGCAGGGCTCCTGAAAATCCATGACACCCCCACATTCTAATTCCGTTATTGCAACTGCAGACGGTTAACTGGCACAACGGCTGCTAACCTCCCTCACTCTTGTAAAGTCTGAGCTACAGGCAGTGCCTTTGGCTCTGAGCTCCGGCATGCTAAACTCTGTTTCGGCAATTAAGTGCTGTGGGGTGTTGATCAAGTTCTTCTTAACTGTAAGTAAACCATTCCAGCTGTTGTCATCCCTCAGTGCTGACTAAACGTATTTGATTTCACTTGTTTTTGACCCATCATGTGTTTTGGTTTCTTCTCCCTATTCCCTTGTTATACCTCCTCCTGGAGCCCTCAGCTGAGGAATATGGGGACCCCTGTCTTCAGGAGGAGGGAGGGTCACATGAGATAATGAGCACCATTTGGGTGCCTGGAGAGGACACCTGGAAGGCAGTCAGTGGGTGTTGGGAATGTGCAGTTCCTTACATGTGCCGTGTAACTAATTTAAACTGATTTCTTCCCACCAGATTCTCCTTTAAGCTGATTTCTTCCCACAAGATTCTCCTTTGTTCCTCTATGGATCCTTACACCCCCAGCCAAGACCCAGCTCACTGGCTCAGACCCATGCTGTCTTCCCCACATTCCCTGCAGTCCAGAGCCAGAACCAGGCTCCAGAGGACAGGACTTCAAATCTGCATACATCATGAGATATATCATTCTAACCTCTCTCCATTTTATTCTCATTTCCATTTCTACATGTCCAGTTAAGGGTCTATAATGCAACTCAGATGAATCTTGAGGCCAGGGTATATGAGAGAGCATTTTCTGAATTAACTTTGAGAAAAGTGACTCCAGGACCTGCTTTATGCTACACAAGATGACAGACAAGCATCTGTCTACAGGACAGTCTTTGCTTCGGTTCAGCCCAATTGATAACAGAGAGAGATTTCACTGAAGTTGTCAGAGAGAAGACTGAAATCCATGAAACCACAGGAAACAAAGCCGATAATGAGATAAATGGGGAAAGGAAAGAAAATAATGGGAAACTGGGTTGTTCCATTTTGTATCTCTAAATCCCGCTGCCATGTAGTAAACACCTGGTGAGATTTCAGTTTAGATGCATGCCTTGAACTCACACCTTGAGATTCTCACTGACATGATCTGGGATGTGGTTTGGGTGTCTGTAGTTTTAAAATGCTCCCACGTGATTCTGATATGTGGCTGAAGATGAGGAAGACAACTGGTCTTCTACGACCTCAGGTTGCCAACATGGAAGTGTTCCATATGCGTGGCTACTCCGAAGAAGAGGCTGAGCATCCATCAGCATTTGATGGGATCTGTATTCCCCTCGCAATGGTACTGTTCATATAGCACAGAAAAAAATCAGACAGGAAACCAAGAAAATTAAGAGAATAGACCTTTAGCCTCTGCTCCTAATGGTGAGTGTGGCATCTATATGTGAGGGCATCAAGAGCAGGGAGTACCCTGGTGAGAGGAACATCCTGCTTCCTGGGGCACAGGCTCTTACTCTAAAGAGGAAGAACAACGACATATTAGACATTGTGGAGGTCACAGGGTAGCTTGGGGAGAAGGGATCCTGGGCCAGACTCTTGGGCTCCATCCATTGCTGAGCTTCTCTGTGCCTCAGTTTCCTCATCTGTTCTTTGGGTATTATAATAATACCTACCTCTGTAAATTGCTACCTCTGTAAATGACTGTTTCTTCTAAAGCACCTAGAACAATACTTGGCACAGAGTAAACACTATTCATTCTTTATTCTACTATTTCTAACTTAATTCAAACTTTATTAGTATTTGGCCATATTTCTTTTATGATTTCAGGGTCCAATGCCTCATATTTTATGCAATTATATTCAGATACGATTTTTCAAATCTTTGACAAATTTGTGCTTGAAATTCCCAGTTCCAGGGAATCTGTGAGTCCCACAGTCCTAAGGGCATTTCCTACTGTCCAGAATATCAGTACTTCATGCCCTCATTGAGTGTGTTGCCAGAGAGGCTGCAAGACTTGGGAATGTGGCCCAAAACTAAGAGTCAGACCTTGGGGGCTGTGAATTCTGACTCTGTCTCATTCCAGGTGTTACTTGATGTGCCACTGAGTTTCTTTTTCCCCATCTCTAGGTTGGAGAGTGTCAGATGCCAGCGAGTTGGGAGGTTGATAACTAAAAATGAGGAAATCCCTCAGTGGAGCCTGATAGTGCAGATGCTTTGGTCCTTGGGATGGACACTGCCACCTGCCATGTAGGCAGTGACCACAACAGCCTGTCCAGCCTTCCACTGAGGCAGGCATGACTTTCTTTTCTCAGACTGTGATGACTACAAAGAGCACATCAAGTCTCTGCAAAAGACATATTTCAAATCAGAGCGCAGACCATTTATAAGGAGTTCACAGAAATTGAGGAGCTCAGGTGAGCAGACGCTGTGGGGACAGGTGGGGGGCAAAGGTGTGAATCTCTGAAGCGCAGCACTTCCCCTGGGAGAACCAGCAGCTAAGCTGGGCCAGGACCAGGACAGACATTTACGTGGCAGGCACATTTCACAGCAGCACTCATAAAACAGAACAGTCATCTTAGCATGTTACTGGTTGCAGTTGTTTCCTTGAGTTTCGTTTACACTTTTTATAACACTGAAATGTTGATTCAAAATTTGCATATCTAAAATTAATTAAAAGAAAGTGAACCACCCAACAGCATTTAGTACACTCTATTCCATGTTCTCTTAGAGTCACCTCCTGGCTGACTGCAGCAACTCATTTGTTCATCCAATACTGCCTTCTTGACCCGTCATTCTTTTCTTCTTTCATCTTTACAATTCACCCCATCTGCACCGAGCCACACTTCTGTGCATGGCTCTGTTTCCAGTCACTGCCCGATGTACTATGGGAGTTTTCATATAGAAATGTCCATGGCTAAAGTGAGGAGCTGAAAGGACATCCTTCTGAAACCGATTTGGGAAGTTGGAAATTCCTGGGGTTCAATCCCTTGTGGTTTAATCTTTGTCATCTCAAAATATATAGATATAGATATGCTATAGACACACACACACACACACACACACACACACACACACACACACACACATTCCTCTGGACCACAGGCATTTCCCCAAACATTTTCTGATGTTCTGCTTGGGGGGCTTCTTGAGGACATTCTCACCTAAACCTCTGTTGCAGTATTAGAACTGATCACTCATCCCTTTACATTATTAAACCTTTTCTGCTACCTCACCATAGGCAATATAAAGCCCTGGCTATCAGGCAGAGCAGCTGACAAAGTTACAGAAGGAGTTACAAAAATGAAGAGATGCCTCCACCACACTGAATAAAAATTTCAAGCCCCCCCCCACTCCTGATTACCTGGACAAGTCCCAGGGTCAGGACCTCCAAGAGCAGCTGGCTAAGGGGCTCAGGCTGACCGAGCATTATGTCAACAAGCTCAGCCCAGGTAAGGTGGGCATAGGCCCTGATGACACACAGCCCCAGGCTTATGAAATTCCCCAGACCACCACACCTCCACAATGACAATTTTATTTCTTTACACTAAAAATTCATAGCCATGACATGACCAGGACTTCCTGGACAGAAACTGAGATGGAAAACCCATGGGGTCGGAGGTCACAGGATGGCAAATGTCTCCTCATTTCTTGCTGGAACGTGGTCTTTGGGGCAAGAGGCAGCATCTGTCCAGTTTTAAAGGACAGGAAGGAGGTTGTGACAGGAGGCAGCTTGTCAGAGTCAAAAGAGTCCTGGACTAAGAATGAGGATTCCAGGCTCTATCTTCAGCAGTGTCTTTGGCAACTGTGAGTAACTGATTAAATCATCCTTCCTGAGTTTCCATCTATAAATCTGTAAAGGCAGACAAATTGTCTCTTGCATTCAAATGTGGGAACACTTATGACAATATTTCATGACTAGATAAAGCCCCTGCTGTGTGGTTTGGAGAAGTCACTTGATGTGGGGGCATTTGGTGGTAGGAAGCCATCTCCATGCACTCCACATGGAGAGTGTGTTCCTGGATGAGACAGCAGAAGCCTCTAGGAGGGCGCACAAAGTCCCCGAAGTGTGGAGTACAGTGGGACAAGTTAGTTTGTCCTGTCATAGAAGAAAGATACAGGTGGCTGGGTGCAGTGGATCAAGCCTGTAATCCTAGCACTTTTGGAGGCTGAGGTGGGTGGATCATGAGGTCAAGAGACTGAGACCATCCTGGTCAACATGGTGAAACCCCGTATCTACTAAAAATACAAAAAATTAACTGGGCATGGTGGTGTGTGCCTATAATCCCAGCTACTCAGGAGGCTGATGCAGGAGAATTGCCTGAACCCAGGAGGTGGAGGTTGCAGTGAGCCGAGATTGTGACTTTGCACTCCAGCCTGGGTAACAAGAGCCAGAGCGAAACTCCGTCTCGTGGGGGAAAAAAAAGAAAGATAAGGTTTCAATGTAAGCTGTAACAGGACACACAGCCTGTGCCTGGGTATCAGAAGTGAGGCAGGATTGGGGAGACAACTGCTGAAGCTTGGAGAGAGGCTGCACAAGCCTGTGGTAAAATGGAGAGCAAGATGTCTTTTGACTATTTGGCCACATCTTGATGGTGACCCTCCAGATCAGAAACATGTTGCCTCATGGATCAGGAAAACCTGTCAGGTTAAAAATAATACATGACAGTGTTCAGCACAATGCAGACCCATAGATGCATGTTCATGTCTCGCTACACATAGGGCTGACTGTGATTTCAGTGGGTAAGGTGGGAAATATCTGAATAGATGCTTCTATAATTCCAGAAAATGATAAATATCATCAAGATAATAAGATGAGGAGGTCGAGAAAGCAGAGAAATCAGCTGCCTCCAGGTAACACTGAATAACCAGGAGCGGGTAATGGGTGGTGAAATCTGGAAAAGGTCTCAGAAAGAACGTAAGTTAGGTGAAAGGTCAGGTGGACTGACCAAACTCAGGGGTTTCCGATCTCACCTGTTGTCTGCCTCTTTGGCATTACCATGTATGCAAGTATTTGCTAGCAGGAAAGTGAATGAAAACTCATATTATGCTCACAGTTTTGAGAACAAGCGAGGTTGAGGATACAGGAACTGTTTCTGTGAAGATGCAAGAACCTGCATTCATTTGGCCTCTGATGCTAATTTCAACAAAATGTGTGTAAAAGTGCTGAATGCACTGTGTCCTTACAGTCTCCCACAGGGATCCCTCCAGCTCTTCCTCCCCAGCTCATTGTCTGCCCAGTGCACTGAGCACCTGCCACTCTGTCTCCTGCTCCACACAGGGAAGGATGGTTGTGTCTCTCTGAGAGGACCGTACTTGGCTTCCTCTGGCCTCTCCTGTGGTCCTCCCTATAGAACTATCTGGGTGCAGTGGTATGGGTCCTGTCCAGTGTTTATCTTCTGCCTTCTTCACCCCAAGCTGAGCCAGGAGCTATTGGAGGCAAAGGAGCAGGAAGGCCCAGAAGACTCCCTGGATGAAATTTACTCGACTCCTTCTGTTCAGCGTCACCTGTCTGACTGCCACCAGCCTTATAGCAGTGCCTCATCCTCACTGGAGAATCAGCTCACGTGCCCTGCTCTGAATGTAGCCTGTGTAGCCTGTGAGTACTCCAGCCTGAAGGTCACAAAACCATGGTCCTCCAGGCAGCCTCTATATGTTATGTTTCTGCAACTTGTGTCACTGAGTCAGATCATCAATGCAGGCAGGCCCCGTAAACTGAGCCTGCCTCAGTTTTGAATCTGACTATTGGCTCCATTTTCAATCACAGACATCCAGTGGGAGGAAATTCCTCTTTTCCTGTCCCAAGTGACTTCTCAGTCACCTGGTTTCTTCTCACAAGAACAGGCTGTAGGCATGAAAACAGGAAAGAGGTCAGGACTCACAGCAAGTTTTTGGCCATAGTAGCCCATCTGAATATATTTGCAGAAAAGCCTTCTTCTGTAGGATAGGGCATCTCTCTTTTCTCAAATGATGTTGCTAACTGCATCCTTGAACAGTGCCCTTATCTCTTCTCTGGCCCTCCACACATCCAGGCAGTTTTGCGCCATTATTTCAAAGGCCATTTTATAATTCCGGTGTCTGATAAGGGTTTTCTACTCTAGGGATCTCCATCTCAGGGGCCATGGACAGTTGTGGGTTCTGCATATCTGCTGGGGTGCTTCCAACCAGCGGAGAGCCTCAGCCCCACTCAAGTGTTCTCAACCTGGAAGAGGGAGTGTGCAGAAGAAAAGAAAGATAGAAAGTGGGGTCTGGAGGACTGCCAGGCAATGCCGGAGCAGCAAATGCCAAAACAGCAAGTTTATTTTTGCACACCACAGGTTATATACCTTTCAGTGCTTGAGGAGTGACGTACATGCCATTGTATCTTGAAATAAAATCAAGAACATAAATCACAAGAAAAGGGGTACAGAAAGTATGACTCTTAATCATAGGGTGTACAGCAAAAGGACAATAAAGTTTGCAAAAGGGGGTCATAAATCTAAACATATGTTTATCCAAAATCAGTCAAACAAGCAAGATCATTAAAAAGGTACAGCTGGACCTTTCCAAATGTCATTCTAACCTTGCCTATTCATATAGGATTATATGCAAATGATATGATTGAGTTAGCAGAGGTAAACAAAGTCATACAGTTATTGTGCAGAGAAGGAACTAGGAGGCACACAATGTCTAACCACACAATGTCTCGTTAGACCACGAAGCCTGAGCTAAGCCATTCTGTTGCAAATGTCAGAGGCAAACATAAATGATTAAAGAATCAGTGCAACCAGACTTCCTCTTTTCCCTTAACTCAACAGCCTCCAGGAGAGGAGAAACATATATGGGCTCAAGCTCAAGATGGCAAGGGTCCTGTCAAGGATCCCTTGCAGGAGCGATGCCCACACATCCAGTGGGAGGAACTTCCTCTTTTTCTGTCCCAAGTGACTCCTGGGTCACCTGGCTTCTTTTCACAAGAACAGGCTGTGGGCATGAAAACAGGAAAGAGGTCAGGACTCACAGCAAATTTTTGGCCACAATAGCCCATCTGGATATATTTGCATAAAAACCTTCTTCTGTAAGATAGGGCATCTCTCTTTTCTCAAATGATGTTGCTAACTGCATGCCTTGAACAGTGCCCTTATCTCTTCTCTGGCCATCCACACATCCAGGCAGTTTTGCACCATTATTTCAGAGCCCATTGTAGAATTCCTGTGTCTGATAAGGATTCTCTACTCTAGGGATCTCCAGCTCAGGGGCCATGGACAGTTGTGGGGCCATGACCTGTTAGGAACTGGGCCACACAGCAGGAGGTCAGCGGTGGGAGAGCATGACCGCCTGAATTTTGCCTCCTGCCAGATCAGCAGTGGCATTCAATTCTCACAGGACTCGAACCCTATTGCGAATTGCACATGTGAGCGATCTAGGTTCTGCACCCCTCATGAGAATTTAATACATGATGATCTGTCACTGTCTCCCAGTGACTGTCACCCCCACGTGGGACCATCTAGTTTCAGGAAAACAAGCTTAGGGCTTCCACTCATTCTACCTTTTGGTGAGTTGCATAATTATTTCATTAGATATTACAATGTAATAATCATAGGAAAAAAGCACACAAAAAATGTAATATGCATGAATCATCCTGAAACCATCCCCCATACCCTGGAGCCAGAAAAATTGTCTTCCATGAAACCAGATGCTGGTGACAAAAAGGTTGGGGAATGCGGCTCTACGTGCTCAGAGGTGACTTCCCTCCACTGACACAGTCCAGCATCCCGCCCTTTACTCAGGCCCAGGCTTGCATCCTCTGCAGAGCTCCAGTGCCTTTTTCCATGTGTGGGCTTGTTGTTTCAATCGTGATTTGGTCTCAGTGCTATATTCTCATGAAAACCATTGAGAATGAGTGTCCCTCATGAGGTACTGGCCTAACTGTTGAGCAAAGCAGAGTGGTTTCTATCCTCATGATGTCCAGAAAACCCTTCCTCTGAGCAAGTGCCCCTTGGTGTAGCAGCTTCACAGGATATGTAGAGAAAAATTCCTCATTTCATTTCATCTTGCTCATTGCATTTTTTTTAACTTCCATTCTGGGAGTTTCATTTGGATTGTTGGGAGTTTCAACCATCAACCTATTTTCTAGTAGAAGCAGGTAACTCTGTGATGTACCCCAGTATATCTGATTATTTTGTAATAAAATTAGCAAGAGTGCCAGGTGCGGTGGCTCATGCCTGTAATTTCAGCACTTTGGGAGGCTGAGGCAGGTAGATTCCTTGAGCTGTGGAGTTTGAGACCAGCGTAGGCAACACTACAAAAACATGTCGCTATGAAAAATTAGCAAGGCAGAGTGACACACACCTGTCATCCGAGCTACATAGGAAGCTGTGGTGGAAGAATCACGTGAGCCTGGGAAATTAAGGCTGCAGTGCATCATCATTGTACCACTGCACTCCAGTCTGAGCAACAAGGTGAGACCTGTGTCACACAGACACACACGTGTGCACACACACACACACACACAGAAAGGAACTAGCAATGAAACTGTTGGCCTCTCTTCTGTTTCAGTGAGCACCTTTCCTGCTGGGACCATCCCCTTTCCCATTTTGCATTTCTCCCTAAGTTTGAGAAAGCAAATACTTTTCTGTGATCAAAGTGATTGATGAAACAAATAAAATACACTTGGACCTTGCATCTGCTGTATGCCCTACCACTTGCCAAACAAGCTCTGTACTGCTATAAGACATTCAGAGCTGAAGGAATGCTCCCAAGGGGGCAGTGGCATCTCCATGTTGGAGCTGAGGATGCTGAGGCTCAGAAAGTTTCCTTCACTTGCCCAGGATGTCATGACTAGTCATGGTGAGTACATGGTCCCTTGTCTGCCTGACTTCATGGCCCAGTTTCTGTCATTTCTTTGTGGGGGGACCTGTTAGGGACTGAGACACGATGGGTGCTCACCCTTTTTGCTTTGTAGAAATTATTTTTGAATAAAGTCAAGATGAAAAAGAATAAACTGCTGATCTAGGATAAAGAAATCCTGTAGTCCCTGGCACAGATTTCTCAAGAAGGATTACCTCTGTGCACTCTTGTCCATCAGCAGAATCAGTGGCTCCTCCAGTCCCTCCAGGGGGACCTACAGCTCCAGCAGGCTCTCCCTTGGAAAAGCACACAGAGAATAAATGGTCCTAGTCTCTCCCCACTGTCCCATCCCAGGGTTTCAACTCTCTACTTGGCCATGTTTAGGTCCCTATAAAGCTGTGGAGCTGCATCTCATGAACACCCCAGCCAGGATGGGTCTCCTACAAGAAGGAAGGGAAATGCTCTGACACATGACTCAGAAGTGAGGTGCCTGTGACGTGGCTGGCCCTGCCATCAGGAACATGGGCCAGGAGAGGGCACATTCATCCATGCAGATGGGCCAAGATGAATGAACGGGACCTTCAGGTTACCCAAGGATGCTTCCTGTGTGTGGCTTCTCGACAATAATGTGTGAATAGTGTGCACAGTGCACAGCCCTGACCCCAGCAGTGGTGTCAGTGTGGATCGGCTCTGCACATGTTCTCCCTGCAGTGAAAGGGTTGGTAGATTTAGGGAGAATACAACCTAAATTATCTCTTGACCTTTCCTTGTGACTTGGTTAAGGAGGAGTCTAGGAGCTCCGTCCCTTGTAAAGACACGTTATTTGTAATTAATTTGAAAAGTGGTTTGAAAAACTCTATACATCTGTATTTTAACCATGTTCCTCTGACCATTTTATCATCAATTAATCACCCCTGTCTGTGGTACTTATTGTATTTATATTTGCACATTGGAAATATTCTCTCTCAAAATTTTACTATGTACTTTTTTTACTGGCATTCTTCACAAAAAAGAATATGCCCCATCCAAATTTTAACTTTCATCCAAAATTAATTTTAATTTATTTTGCTGGCATTCTGTTGTGGAAAAGAATATTCTCTGCCCCAGTTTTAACTTTCACCGAAAATTAATTTTAGTCTATTAGTTCTAATGTTTAAAGTTTAAATTTGTTTAATTAAAAATTTTTTTGCCCATCACTCTTGACTAGTGGATTTTTTTACAAATAATGTTCTAAGTTTTTATTTTTATGATTGGTTTGGCAGATAAACCTAGAGATTAATAAAAACATTCTTATTTTTCTGTGTATATTCTAAACTCTTCCATATTTTAGTCTATATTTATTATATGAGGTAGATTGTGTTTTCTGCATTTCTTTGTTGGTGTTGTTTTGTGTGTGTGTGTGCGTGTGTGTGCGTGTGTGTGTACATGCGTGCACACGTGCCTTCTGTTGTTATTTAGGAAGAGTTGTATAGCTTTTGTTTAACATTGCACTAAGGTGTTGACATCACTAATCCCCTTTTAACTTGAGACACTTCCACTATTTGGTTTATACATTTTTAATTATATCTTTCAACTTCAGATTTTTACCACTATAACAAAGCGTTATTTTCCTCTTCTCTATCCTCTTTACCTGCCATTTCTTATTTGTCATTTAGCCCAAACATAAAGTGACAGCCTGTGTGTCCCACCTGTTCCCATCTTGGTTTCTGGTATAGATCTACAATTAAATATGTTGACACACATGTGCTATTCAAACGTGTGTCCTAAGTGTCCCTTGTTGAGTGGAATTTATCCGTAACAGAGTCCTCCTGAGGGAATCAGGTCTCGCTGACTTTTGCTTAGGGAACTTTTCCCAGTCTTCATGCATGGGTCATATCACCAGATATACAGTACTTGCTAAAAAGGATTTTTCTTATGATTTTAGAATGTACTGTTTGGTGTTGGGAGACAGCACATTTGCTCTCTCTGGGATTCTATTTCGTTCTACCAGGACCTTTAATTTCTGCCAGTTACTTCATTCATTCTCGTCACTACAAGTCTCCATAGGATGCTTCCTTTGTCCAAGCCTCCCGGTCTCCCAGCAATGCTACCCTTGGAAGATTGGTCCCTCTGGTCCTCTGTACTGTGAAGCCCCTGCCAATTCATTCCCCAGTAGCTGGGTTCTGATCCACCAGGTCTCAGGCATGTTCTGTGTTTCTCCACACTGGCTGTCTGAGGATGGTTTTTCTGGGTATTCTGTTGTGGACAGGCCCTCCCTGCTGTGCTGGTTTCTATTTGCATAGTATTTCCTGCTCCCTCTGCTGTTGTGTGGCTCCCAGATCCAGCTAAATAAAATCACCTGAGGGCCACAGTGTTTTCTAGCCCTGGTTGGTGGCAGGATTATGGGTGGCAGTTTTGACTCTGTGTTAATCCCTAGGGCTTTGAAGTGTATGTGAAGAAATTCAGCTTTTATCTCTCATACTTCTTCAAATGCAGAACTTCAGTAGTATAAAAAAGGAGACAGAATCGTATAGTAGAACATCCCCATGTTCATTGGCCAGCTTCAGCAATAGTCATTGAATATCTGAACTTTTAAAAATACAATCCTTCCTACTTACTTACAAAATGAGTGTGTGTGTATATATGTACACAGCATGTGTGTGTGTGTGTGTGTGTGTGTGTGTGTATGTTTGGACATATGATTGTGGAGGCTGCAATTCCCAAGATGGAAAGCTGGACACTCAGGAAAGCATTTTCTTCTCATTGACCTTTTCCTTCTCCTCTGGCCTTTGGCTGATTGGATGAGGCCTGCCCACCACAGAGAGGGCATCTGCTTCACTTAGTTTGTCTAGTTTAGTGTTAATGTCATCCAGAAACCGCCTCCAGCACACACCCAGAAAAATGCTGGAACAAATGTCCTGGCACACCGGGGCTCGCTAAATGTTATACACACAATTAGTCAGTAT